TGTCAAATGTGAACCCCCTAGACATTTTTGAAAACTGCCCCCCCCCCCTTGGCAAATCCTGGCTACGGGCCTGGGTTATAAGCAGTATCATGGGAACCAAGGAAATGTTTATTATTTTCTGTTTACTTCGGATTTCATTGAACCATCTGTAGATTGAAAAACAAGGATCAATAAATACAACTACTCAAAATCAAACATTAGAAATCTATTTTTGACTGGACACATTTTTGTTCTCGAATGCCAACTTTGATTTGAATGATTTCAATCAAATAAACGGCAAGCGCATGCAAAGACCGAACGGAATGCGTTCGCTTTTTTCGCCGTTCGGTATTTTACCGTGTCGGCATTTCACAAAAAACGATTTTTAAAAATTTCAACAAAATCCTTGATTTGCGTGATATTTGATCATACACGCTAAATTGATGCGTGATTTCTATTTTTCCAGCAAATGCGTAACAATCACGCCTAATGCGTGAGGGTTGACAGGGCAGTTATTACATCAGAGAAATATAAAACGTGACCTGATCGGGAGAGGATTCGGGTTGTACACAGTACACAAATTATGCATGTTTAATTGCCAAATTACTATAAAAACAAGCTGGAGTAACATTAAGTATTTATTTAGTATTTTGTTATCACACATCAAAAGGCGCATTTGAAGTTCAGAAAATGCAAGAAGACTTGGATATGTATTTATATATTTATATGTTATGAATTTATTTTGTATTCAATTCGAATTCTGTTGAGTTGGACTCCTTGAACACCCTCCCCCCTTGGCTACGGGTATAAGAACAACTAATTAGAGAGACCTAAAATGAAAATAATGTAACAGTGGTTTACTTCGGGTAACTGTTCCTGTAAAAATATACAAATGTAGTCCATCACAGAGTTCATTTATTTCACGAAAGCGTCAAAGGACATTGCCTCTAAACACTAAGATAAACAAATTAACTTCCGCAGAAACATCCTGTAGAGGAAAAAACAAATGGCTTTTCATAACGGATTAGAATAGCCAGTCTGTCTGATTGTATACATGTAATATATTAGGTACATTTTAAATTAAATGAATTTTGACGGATTATGTGATTCCTGGGAAATGAAAAATAGTTTATTTTTCCTGGCTGTTTAATGAAAGCACATTTAAAAATCTCCATTCATTAACATCTAACGGGCTTTGAAAACCAGGGATTGAAAACGAGGAATCAATGTGATCTTAGAATTTTTACACGTGTATGAGAGGTGCGAAAGGCAGGCTGACCGTGCGGTCGCCGTATGGTTGACATGCAGACAATGTAAGAATACGAAGGGTATCTGTGTTCCCCTGGTCTGGCCGTATGATTGCTACAATTGGATATGCATGGATTTATTGCAAAACTGAAAACCCGTTCACCTATAGTGCCCGACATTACGTTAATAAACAATTTCCACATGTTGAAATATATTGCTATTTGATTAAGTTCAAGACAAAACATTTTGGAACTGTTTCACATAATGTAATATTCCTCGGATTTGATGCATACACATGTTTCACAATCAGAGACAAGGGTCTTATACGGGGTCTTACATTTGGAAAACCAATCTATAAGTAGTATTAGATTATCACAAAAGATAAATAACTTTTAAAACTGCGGTTAGGTAGCATCTTGATTACAGTAAAGACAGGTCATCTAGGAATTATTTCTGCCTCTAAAACAAAACTATTTTTATTTTTAATCCCCTCACCTTGTCAATGTCTATGCCTGCATCTGGTTTTGCCCACCATTGGGAGGGAGCCGATATACACATAGATTACTTACTTGCCATGGACAGGGGGGGGCACAGAAACGAACAATCTGGGGTCATAAAAGATAATTGGGGAAGGGGGAGGGGAGGTGGTGAATAGTGAAGTCCGGGAGCGAAGTTAAGGGGTACTGAAATCTTTCTTTTGATATTAAGTGCTTGCATGGAGACTCGTTTCCACCCCCCCCCCGCACTCTAGTAAAATTTAAATATTTGATCCAAAGGAGTTATTTTGTATCAAACTTGCATTCCGATTAATTAACACTCCCACGATTGTACCGCTTCACTATTGTCTAAGATAATTATAATAAATTCACGGGACACTATAGTGTTCCTTTTAAACTTTAGTGGTTGGATCAGAGACATAAAAACAATTATAAATATTTGATTTAGGGAGGTATTTGCAATCCAACTCTGATGATACAAGACTAGTCAGCCAAGACTAAATTATGAACTTATTTATCATTTAGACTATTGAGTTCATTAAATTATTATTCCATAGATATCGCATTTAATCCTGTCAACACAATCGTGGTTTTAATTGGCATGATATTTAATCAGAGAGACGGTTTAAAAAGTTGTTGATTAATGATTAAGTATTAAGTATTAATGATTACGTATTAGGAAAAATCCTAATTCAATGTTTTTGTTCTCTCGCAATAGCAAAACCCTCGCCGGGCAAGCATTCTTTAAAAACGTGAAGTTGAGCAGTTTTGAAAATTGTCCATTTTAAACCATCGCCTTGTATATTTTTATAACTGCCCTTAAATCACGATAACCGTGATTCCCGAAAGCTGAGATAACTATGGCACACAAATACTAGTAGCCGTTATGGAAAATAAAAACACCGAATTTTGAAATGGGTTAAAATGTCGCAGTCTTACGTTGTCTCCGTTAACAATGTAGCTTTAATATTAAGACATATTGATTTCAATTAATAAAGTGCCCACAGTTTTCTTTCATGGAGCGCATTGAAGCAATCCAATATTATAATAAAACCGCTAATAATCTAAATGGGCGCCCGTGTTTTTGCAAGCACGTTATAAATGTAAAACTAAAATATATCTTTCAACTGCTGCACTAATCACTTCTGGTGACTTATTTTGAAAAATCATTTATATTAATTCATTACAACTTTCAAATGTCAAAACTTAATTTATCAATACCCGCTTTTATCAAAACACTCAATATGTCTATGTCAACAAGATAGTGTCAACATGTTGTGTCAACAACATGTAACCTAATGTAAACAAATTATACGCAAGAGCAGAGAAATGTATCATCCAGTATAATATGTTTTTCCCAGTTGAACCAGATGGAATATAACAGCTGATAACAGCTGATAACAAATTAAAACAAATTATACAAGTATCAGAGGAGAAACTCCAAAAAAGTCCGTATCATTCATTGTTATAATTATGTCTTATACATAAACCTATGATAACAGGTTAAAACGAATTAAAACAACTGATATGTATGTTTAATAGGTTTATGATACTGTATTAATCATGGGATTTTACATAGTGTAGGCTTAAATCTTTCAATACATTATACATTGTGTTAATATCATCAAAATCGGATATCAATGCTAGAGATATTCTAAATAACAGAAATAGACCATTGAAACAAACTGATTTCGAAAGAACGGAGGATGCATTTAAAAAAAGGTTTATTTCTGAAATCCCAAAGTCAATAGCTTTAAAATGGTGTATTATAAGCAGTTCATCAAGTTTCTAATATTTCGTAGATCTTAAGAGGCCTACTAATCATGCTACTTAAGTTCATTCTAAATATTAAATTTCAATAGATTAACACGTTAAGTTGATGAAATCACAACATTACACAGAACTTATTTAATCGTATATTGTATTGTGAGTATGTAATAATGAAATGTAATTCAGCATATCATAACAAAACATGTGCAATGTGTATGGTATGACTATGTAAAAAGTATTACTGTCCCACCGAACGAAGTTCATAGGGATATAGAGAAGCATTCCGTCCGTTCGTAATCCGGACGGTCACCCAAAGACCACTACACGGATTAGCTTCTAATTTTATCAACTTATGCCTTATGGGTGTAGGAGCTATTTGACGAATTTGGTTCAAATTTCATAATCTGATGCCTAGAGACAAAGGAGATTTGCTCAAGAAGACGTTTTCAAGATGGGTGCTGAATTTCAAAGTGGCCGCCATTTTTGTAAAAACATATTCTTTGATAACTCAAATATTATTTTTACGGATTTGATTCAAATTCTATATGTTGATGCCAAGGGACAAAGGAGCTTTGAAGAGATTTTAAAGATGGCCACTGAATTTCAAAATGGCCGCCATTTTTCGTAAAAACGCAATCTTTGATAATTAATATAATGGACTGGTTTGGTCCAAATGGTAATGCCCAGGGATACAGCAGCTCTACTTAAGGTAAAACTTCATGTCGACCGACTTTTTTCTACAATTCTAGATATTGTTTAGAAATGTAAAGCCCAGCGCTTTAATCAATACACTAGATGCGAGTAGAAATAATCTTGATTTACGTCATTAAATATTCGAAATTCAGTAAAATTGATCTCATATTTGAAATCTGCATGTAAAAGTACATCTAGAAATATGGTTTCTAAAATTGTCTATCAACTTTGAAAATGTATTTTTTTTTGAAAATGTGACTTCTTGCTCGGGTTGATTCCCCATAGACCCCATGCTACAAAATCACAAAAAGTGAATTATCTTCTCTTGTATTGGACAGATAACATTTTCTTTTACTGGACATATTTTAATTTGCATAACTATGAGATACATAAGGGTTATATGAAAATTGAACCACGCAAATAGTTAATATAAACGAATATCGATGTTAATGTTTTTATTCGATTTTCGCTTTTGGCATAAGAGATGCGCGAACTGACTGTGCAACGGACACTGAAGTTCTAACTTAAGAAGGAATTCTGCAGCTGAATTTCAAAATAGCTCCCATTTGTCCTAAAAGAATGTGATCCATGATAGCTCAAATACCAGTTGACGCATTTCATATTACCATGCCTAGGGACGAAGGAGCTCTGCTTGAAAAGAAATTTTCAAGATGACAGCTGAATTTCAAAATGGCTAGAAAGAAGTTTAAGCACAAGAAGAAATTTTCAAGATGCCATTTAACAAAATGGCCGTCATTTGTCGTTAAAAATGTAATCTTAATAAGCCAAATACCAGTTGACGGATTTGGTTCAAATTGTATACGCTGATGCCTTGGGACAAAGGAACTCTGGTCAAGAAAGTATCATCAAGATGGCAGCTGAAACGGCCATCATTTTGAGTAAAAACATAAACTTTGATAACTCAAATATCAGCAGAAGGACTTGGTTCAAAGTTTATATGCTGAAACGTGGAAAAAAGGAGTTCTGTTCAAAAATAATTATCAAGATGGCCGCTATTTATCAAAACACGTTTTGTTCGGTGGGATTTGCTACTCCGTGGACATGCTGTTTTCTAGTTTCAATGATTCCAATGATTCTTCCATTGGTATGGACTAAATCCCGGGACTAAATCTAGTATGAAAGTTCCAATGATTCTTTTAATTCCTAAACAGCATCAGTAGCGAGAAGGTATTTCTCATCGTTGATTGGTTGAATATCGTTGATTGGTTGAACACTATTTGTCCTCTTTCCGGCCTTCAACCGCGATTTCTCAGCCTCGATGTCTTTGTGATTTTTGCATTCCTGAAACATGAATTCAAATTCATTGACTTAATTGAATTAGAAGGGATAGAAACCAATAGTTTCAACATCAATCATTAGATATTGATTTCCTTAAAATCCAACCTTAATTTTCTAAGAAAAAATCAGATATTTGACCAAATATAGAAATTGTTGAAAATTTAAGATGCAGAAATTGGAATTTTTAGAAAAGGCATGACATCCAAGCATGAGAGAAAACACTCAAAATTCGTCTTTATCCCGTTCTCTCTATCACATTTGCTATAATTCGATCCGGATCAAGGTAGTTTTACATCAAGCTGTACATGGCATAATAGTTCCTACCTTAGTTTTTATATATGAATACCTTTGTAAAAATTAATTTCCACGTAATTATTCAGAAGGTGGGCTCTAATTCGCCAGTAAAGATCGGAATCTTATAACACAAAATCTTGATTTAAAGAGAAAAAGTATTTTTTGATTGAATTGCACGGATTCCTCAAGTAATTTAAGATCAAGGGATCTCTGTTATGTATACGTATACATTATGGTATGGATTTACAAAGTCTACTATTTTCATTTCATCAATAAATGGAAATGACCCGTGATACAAAACGACATGTCACGTGATAGAAAGAAACTTACCAGATACAGTTTGTCTTTCGATTCCATCTCCCTGTTTCGTCTGTACCTCTGAAAAATATCAATGAAATATATTTAAGTCAAAGTGTTTAAGAACGCAAACATATGAAATATGAATACAGGAGGCATCCAGACATAAGACAAGGGAAGATTGGTTAGCAAAATATTTATAATTGAAACTATGAACTTTTAGAATGAAGTCTAATGGCAGTTTTATGTGGTTTTATGGTATATTAATTAGTTTCTAAATTGTCGAACTTGTTGAATGCAACAAGCTCGAGTCTCATCAAAATATGGTTTCAGAAATGCATGAGTTCCTCAGTAGTTTGACGCTTAAAAACGAGGGTGATTAATAAGGATATCATATTTATAAAATAAGAGTCGAGCCACATTTGAACACATTTGATGCAGCCATGTGTACTAGGAACAGAAATTAAGAAATATAAGCTATGAATGAACAACTCTCACCGAGATGATCATGAATAACCCAAATGTAAGATTAAACAACACGTGACATCCAAGTAGAATGAACATGGTGTACATATCAACAATGGCCGTCGTTTCAGTGTCCCCGTTATTGGAAAATACGGTAATGACGGCAACCATAGTCCCTTGAATGACGAGGAACACCATACAGGTGAGGATATAGATGTCCTGCAAAAAAAAAAAAAACGGTACAGCACAGAAACATGTCTAAACAATGGTGAAGTTTTCATGAGTTAGACATGTGTCTCGATTTTATAAGGACGCCCATGCATTACGAGGCGCTACATGACGTGTCTTAACTTTATAAATGTTCAAGATTAAAGATCAGTTTAAAATTCATTCAGCCTCGCAGCAAAATATTTAAACTGTATATTTGTTAACATTTGGCAAGAGAAACATGATCAATATGTAACAAAACACTTGAACACTAACCCCCCTATCACACCACACTAGAGCTCAACCGTTCTTTCCAGTCCTACAAAAGTCATAAAACTGGCTAAATCTGGCTGTAGTCGGGAAATATGTCTTAAATGATTAGCTACTTCGTTCATAAACAGTCTTCAATACGTCCATCTCATTCGCATTTCGTTCAGGTCGCACCATGTCGGTGTACACACGTACTGCAATTGATATCCGATTGCACAACGTCGTTAACGCGTCCCTAGTAGGGTCAAGGTACGGGAATTACTTAACTAGTCTAGTAGGTCATCTTGTTTGAAATACGTTGCCACAAGATCTACTCACAGAACGGTATGGTCGCCATCGAATTAAGAAACGATTCAAAATTCTAAATCACCATCCCGTCCGAGCACGTCCATGAAGTTCGTAAATAGACTGTAGAAAGTTGTAGCTACGTTCAGTCCGTTCGCACACAGTTTAAAACCAGTTCGGCAACGTTTTAAAGAACGCGGTGGCAACTAGTTTGGTGTGATAGCTATATTTTGATAACTTGTTCATAAGCAGTCTTAATACGTCCTATACCAGTTTAAACCCGTTTGCAATGAGTTCTATCTCGTTCTCAATACGTCCCCAGTCAGTTCAACATCTCGTTCTATAAACGTTTTTCGTAGGATTTAAGTACGGCTGTTCCGTTCGTAGTTCGTCCCCCTCGTCCTAAGTACATTGTCACTCGTACTGATTGCAGAACCTGACGATCACCAGAAAATCTTGAGCATGCTCTAACTTGTGGAGGACCTACTCATTCGAGTACGTTCACGAAGTTCGTAAATATTCCCAAAACGGTTCTAATAACGTCGAATCCGTTCGCACATAGAACGGGCTTCAACTGTGTACGTACGAACAGACTGGACGTACTTAGAACCGTTTGGGGTCTATTTACAAACTTCATCGAACGTACTCGAACGGGTATGTCCTCTTGAACTTAGAACATGCTCAAAATCTTATCTTGGTCGTCACGTTCTACAATTAGAACGAGTGACAACCTACTAACGACGAGCTGGACGTACTACGAACGGAACCGTCGGACTTCAATCCTACTAGGGACGTTTTAACAACGAGTTGAACTGTCTGAGGGCGTATTGAGAACGAGGTAGAACTAATTGCAAACGAGTTTAAACTGATAAAGAACGTATTAAAGACTGCTAATGAACGAGTTAGCAAAACTGGTTTTAAACTGTGTGCGAACGGAATGAACGTAGCTTCAACTTTCTAAGGACTATTTACGAACTTCATGAACGTTCTCAGACGGGAAGGTGATTTTAGAATTTGGAAATGATTCAAAATTCGATGGCGACCATACCGTTCTGTAATCAGGTCATGATGACCTTCCAGACCAAGGGACGCGTTATACGACGTTGCACACCGACGTGGTGCGACCTGAACGAACTGTGAATGAGATGGACGTGTTGAAGACTGTTTATGAACGAAGGAGCTAATTATTTTAGACATATTTCCCGACCGCAGCCAGATTGAGCCCGTTTTACGACGTTTTCGTAGGACTGGCAAGAACGGGTAAGAACTAGTTTGGTGTGATAGAGGGGTTACATGAAAACTGTTGCAAAAGTAACTATTTGTAAAACACACCAAAAACATGTTGCTGAAAGTGTACCTAGTCTACCTACCAGAAAAGTGAGGTATGATATCGTGGGGAGATTCTGTGCACAGACAAATTTGAAGGCAACGGCTGTAAGAAGGAGGGTGAGATTCACGTTAAGTCGTCCTTGGGGGACCTCAATGTCGATTGCATACACGACGAACGTCAGACTTGTGATCATAAACTGAAATATATAATATACATACATGCATATAACATTTACACTCGCATATTTATCAAATCACTGGTAAATAAACTCGATACATTTTGTCTAACATCCGAAGCAACTGCAAATCACATGCACTATATTATGTCTTTTTATACAACTACATGTACGTATACCACAGTCACACTAGGATACACATAATTATCTGACTTACCATGATGAGAAAAATGTTCCAGAAGAAATAGCCAGGTTTCCGACTAACATGACACATGAGATTTAATTTGGGATGCTTGAACTTGGAATTACTAAATTCAGTCGTAGTGGGGACTAACTCTGATTCTACGTGCTCATAGACCTACAAAGGAACAAAGCCAGATTATACAAACATTAAAGGCAACATCAGATCCAGCAAGCAACTTAACAAAATAATGTTTCAATTTTACAATATTTTGGCTTATACTTAATCATTTCTTGTCATATCTATTTTCGAGAAAATTCCTCAAAGTTCCCTCTTTGATAAACTGGGAGACATAGTGTCATTTCTCATTGGACATATATTAATACTGTATGAAGGAAAGACAATCCGTAAACCTAAGCTGTTTGTAGAATTGGAAACCTGGATTAGAATGATAACGCATTTGAGCTGATAAATCAAGTTTCAAGTGACAGTAGATAAGACTTTGCCAAGAAACACAATAACATACGTTCCATTCCTGTTGGTCCATGAATGTGTCCACGTTTATTGAAGACAACTCTTTCTTATCTTCCATCAACTCAACCTCCACTTCTGATCTCTCTGTCGATACCTGGAGGGTCAATTCCTGGAAGAGGTCTAATTTTGTTAACTTCGGGTGCGATTTAAAGGCTCGACAAAGACAACATAGGAGTAAACAGTAATTATTTTAGAATAGTTTCTGCCCATTTATATTGGCGACAAGTAAGTGTATCGTGCTCATAGCCTTAAAGAACAATAGGTGCAACAAATTGTGGGATCCATAGTCTCTAGTATCTCTTACAAGCTTTAGATTCAGAGAGACTCAGATCAGAATGGGTGTAACAAACTATTTCACCATTTTACCCATCATGAGAAAGCATGGCCTTCTACAGTGCGTATCAAAAAACGCAACAGTTTGCTATCTCGGAAAAGCACAAAACCAGTGATAACAGCATTGGTTTCATTCAATGTACCATAATGCCATGTGTCTCCTCTTTCCAATGGTATATCATTCGTTAATATTGGGTCATGGTTGGGCGAGTAATCATTCCTAAAGTAAAGTGGGCCAAAATTACCTTGGGGCCAAGTTATAAACATCACAAAAGTCAGTGCACGAGGCCAAATGCAATATTGGAAGAAAACATAAAACCAATGATGACTGCATCCTTTTCATTCAATGTATCAAAAACCCAAATTACTCCTCTTTACAATGGAATGTCATTCATTCATAGGGAGTCATGGTTGTCCGAATAATCATTGTTTTGTAAAGTGGGACAAAATTCAGCTCAGACCCAAGTTTTAAACATTGCAAAAGTCAGTGCATGGATATTGGAAGAAGGTATTGGATGTGTGACAAAGACTGTAAAGTGTTTATACTCATACTTTTGCAAGAATACATCCTATACCCCTTTAAATTGCCACCACTTCTTAGCACACAAAGATGTCCTCATCTCTCCATACGGCTGCCATTCATGGCTCAGCTCTGAGTCATCTGCGGATTAAGGCGGAGAAAAGCAGCCCATTGGCAATTCTTTCTCGAAGTTTTGCAATATCTAGTGAAGGAATGGTGAGCACAGATGCTCCTGAGATAGCTCCAAAAGAAAAAGTCACAACAAATAAAGTCATGAGAACTTCCATTGGCACTTAGCTCTTGCACTGATTTTTGCAATTTCTGAAACTTGGTTCAGAGCCGATTTTGACTCACTGTGTTAATGGAAGAATTTCTCACCCAACCATGACAACATGTGAATGAATGACATATGATTGCAAAGAGGAGGGCTGTGGCTTTATAGTACATCACTAGTTTTGCGATTTTACGAGATAACTGCTTGTTGCGTTTTTGTGATACGCCCTGTATTAGCTTCACACTAGTATGATTTTTGGTTGAAGATAGAAAGATGTGATGAGTATCAGAATGATTTTTACCATTTGATACAAAACAGAGAGTTACCCCCTCCTCAAAATATGCGACCAACTAATATTAGAATCACTTGGAACTTTCTCAATAAAAACACATATCTGGACTATTACTGTTTAGTTCTAACATCGTCGATCATCTTTTAAATGCTGAACAGATTTTTGCCATCAATAACTAATACCATCGATCTTGACTCATCAAGGTATTATACACACTGTATGTCTAAAGTTCATCTTTGACAATTCTTTTTACGAAAAATGGGAAGACGTATTATTGATTATATATTTGTGAGTTCTGTAAGCTAGTGAAAACAATCCTGAAATGACTCAAAAACTGGCCATGACAAAATCACAATTTTAGAAAACTGTATTTTCGAACATTTTTGACGATTTCATCGAAACCATGCCTGGACGGAAACGTGATATCTCGAAATACGAAAGTTGTATCCAAATACAACAATCTTTTTATCCATTGAACACTCTATCACAAAGATTCCTTAATTATTATAAAGTTATATCAAAATTAGTGGGTGACATTTTTGTGTCACCCTGTAGCTGTCAGAGGTGCTCTCAATAGCGACATTGGATCTATAAGTAATGGATAGAAAATGTATTTTAACACATATTTGGTAGCATACAAAAGTTACATTTTCGTTGGGATTTTGGATTTAACACGTTCAATATGTAAGCATTCTTATATTGCAAAAAAAGGTTTGGTTCGAATAAAGCGGCTTCTTAATTACATGTTTGTTTGATTGATCTTGAATTTGCTGTGCAAATAATAATATGAAACAAGTTAATAATGGTGAAAACTAGCAAATATAAATGCCATAATTCTAAATGCAAGTAAGTAAGTATTCTTAATTTGCAAAAAAAGGTTTCGTATGAATAAATCGGCTTTTTATATGTTTGTTTGATTCATCTTAAATTTGTTGTGCAAATAATAATCTGAAACAAGTTAATAATGGTGAAAACGAACACTTATAAATACCATAATTGTAAATGCCATAGTTATAAATGCCATAAGTGTAAATCGTAACCTGAACGTCCACGGGAAAGTCTTTCAATTCCAGAGTCTCGATAAAGGTTCCTTTTATTCTCTGTCTTTGATACACTACAGGGTGACCACCTTCGGGATCCCGTCGACATCTAAAAACATAAGGAAACAATATGTGACTTTAAAACTGTAAGCCGTAGTAGTAGTCTGGTCATTTTGAGGATTGGAAAGAAAACTTTTTTTATTGTTTTGTTAAGCTTACCTGTACCAAGTAGTGATTTCATCAGGTTCCCCATCAATGTTTCTCACCAGAATCTTCGGAGTCCAACAACACTCTTCAACGTCTAAATCCTCCAGTTCCTATAGCAACAATGTCATTGTGGTCAGTGTTTACGCAACAACAATACCGTAAAGGAAAATAAATTGTAATTTAGTTGTTATGAAAGTTGCTGTAGTTACAGCATTGATGAGAATATTTATGAATATCAAATAAACAATTCAAGAATCGCTTTTATCACATTTTAGAGTGAATTCCATGCATCACTTTTTTGTATTCGTTCTCCATTAACTTATTTTGCTTTGATTTTGAACAAGCAATGATTGACAAAGTATTAAACTGGCCAGGATGGTTATATATGTGTGGATCATTTCAAGTTTATTTCAGTAATCTTGAATTGGTTTAGCTAGTAGACATTATTCCTCTGTTTGGCAGATTTTTCAGCTCTAGTTTTGGTGTATGTAAAGCTAACGCATTTGGGTATCACGGCGGTTACATACCTTCTGGTAAACGCATACCCATATCTACGAGGGGGGATTCATAAGTAGTGGGACAAATGCCATAACTTCCCTTATTTCAACCAGATTTTATTCAAACTTGGAACACAGAACCAAAAACATGTTATAATCAATGTGTAAAAATTTCAAAGAGTTACACCCAACTTCAGTAAATTAAAAGTGAGAGTTCCAATCATGACGTCACAACAGGGTCCACGGAGCACATTGTTTGTCACTAATTGCTAGTTTAAATGCAAGTCTGAACTGATATTTAGGACGTGATCTAATCCGTGACTTCTAGCGAGTCCTTTGTGGAGCACATCAATTCTGTGCAAGACTATTGATTCCTAATCCTTCTGGTGCAATCTCACTCTTTCTCAAAGTATTCGCCATGACAATCAATGCATTTTTGGCATCTCCTCAACCATTCTAGATGCACCCTCAAAACCATATTTTCGAAGATTGGTCATTTCGGCTCTCACAGCATATTCAGAATACATATTAAGAATACCACCTATATAATGTAGATTTTTTTACTTCTTCTTTCCCATAGACTTCCAACAAACCTCTATAGGCCTTTAATACTGAAAACTTCTTCAAAGCATTAAATTTAATCACAGCACGGATGTTTATACGTGATTCTTGCCTTTTCATTGCTATTTTAATCAAATTTTGCTCCGTCCAAGAAGGACTGAAAATGGCAGTGTCCTGGCGTCACTGCTTTGTGTGACATCACAATACCATGATGATGTAATATATGTTACAGTTGTCATGACTACAACGCTTGAGACGATATGAAACCAAATATTTGAAAATAACTGTCATTTTGAGATATTTATGACCATATTTATGTTGATCAAGCCCTACATTTTTTAACTGCTCCGTTAACCCCTACTTTTGGTTACCATAGCAACCGTTGTTGCTAGGGAACAAAATGAATTAAATTGAAATTTCACCAAACAATGCCTTATATCCTAGTCCGTTCATGTGCCAAATTTGGTTGAGATATGTACACAGGGACTTGCTGCCTCAGAAAAGTCCCACTACTTATGAATCCCCCCTCGTAGAAGATATATGCAACTTGGCAATCCCCAAAAAACTTGAACTTACACTGTCTGTTTTATTATTTAATTCTGGCTCCGTCCATTTGGCCTGTATGAATATGTCTGCCACAAACACTTGCTTAAGGGTGTTTACATCCACGATCTTCAGAAAACATACTCTGATTTCCACTGGTACCTTTAAAGTAGCAGAACATACAAAACGGTCACGTTTTTATAGGTTTTAGCCAAGATGCCAATCAAACATTAGATTCTATAAAAAATCACAATGTTGTCACATTTTATTTTTAACATAAAGAACAATGTCTAGGCTACAAATAACAATGATAATTTTATGAATAAAATGATTGGAAGGAAAGGGGAGAAAGTATGAACTGAACCTAAAATTAGGGAAATTATCAAAAAACTGCAATTTTAAAAACATTTTTGCTTAAAGAAAAAAAATATGAAAACTTGCATTGTTTGATTTAAAATTTTGGAGTTGTATGGACATGCTGTTGCGTCAACAGTCACGTGTCCGAAATCATAATAATTGTATGTGACCTTGATTATAAGTAGAATGAAATTTACATTTTGAAATAACATTAAAATAATAAAAAGCTAAGCACAAACCTTGTCTTCTCGTTCGATTTCATCAATATCTTTGTTGGGTTTCTTACTAATTGCAGAGCCATCTCTTCCTAGGCTAGCACTACCACTCTTGGCTAGTGCTTTTATTGCTTTCGTATTGTCTTCGAGGTTTTTTGATATTCGTTCAAGGATTGCTCTCATAACTTCATTATCTCTATGTGCATCATTTTGGATTGTTTCTGTCTTCAGAGGAGGTAAATTTATCAATTCTGCCATTGTTGCTATTGGTTATACTCTGTTGCTAGAGAACGTTGACTAGATATTTTGTAGCACAAGTATATTATATTGTTGCCATAGCAACATCACTACTTTCAGTACGGTAGATGTCTTATTATTATGCTTGACGATCTGTGATCTTGTTGTTATGGTTGTTGCTGTGTTTGATGATACTATGGTAGCGTATGTTGCTATGCTGGGGCCTCAACTATGTCCAATGTGATAGCCCTAAGTGACGTTGGCACTGATATGATACGGTATGCTCAATGCTATTCCACTTTGCGTTTTATTTTGCTAAACCTTAAAAAAGAAAAAATAATTTCCGTTTTTGGTTGTGTTTTGAAATGAACATTTGATCAACCGATAGTGGCATAATAATATGAGATCGACACAAATCAGAATTCTCGAATTCTTCGTTTCACTAATTGTTTGCTTTACACAAACAAATTGCAAGACTCTTGGTGCTATTGGCAACTCTGATGTCCTTCAAGATCCACGTTTACTTATTTGAAACCGATTAATATGAAGTATTATTTGTTCTTCTTAAATTACACATTGGTTATTCAAACTTTACAATTAAAATTATTGATTCTTCTACAACCAAATTCAGGAAACCGATACGCAAATAATAAGGTGATTTGTCAAGTTCATTAAAAACACACACACTTACATTTCGCAATTTGGCATTTACAAAAAAGGTAATGTATCTCATTCAGTTAACATTCTAATACTTTCTAATACACGAGAGATGAAATCTCTGAAGAATCGCAGATACTCCCAAACTAAGATTCAAAGATGCCAAAATCAAATCAATACTTTTTTGTCTATAATGTAAGAAACTGCAATGGTCAAATGTATATCTGTATATGAAAATGTACATACTCACTCGAATAACCGTCTACATTGTTTGTAGCCATAACAGTAGATTTGATAGTGTAAGCAACAAAAAAAACGATTGCATGATTGCATGTACAAATACGTTTCCAAAGGGAGTGGAGACTTTAATTGTTCTCGGGCTAAAACGATAGCACCTTTTTTATTCGTATTTACTCATAGTAAATGTTTTCAACAAAACATATCCTTGCTTAAAATACAATTTTTAGACGCTATTTTGACGCATTTTGCCTAAAATTAGTTCAACTTTATTTTTGAATATCATAAAATTAGATTAAAGGGTTTGGCAATTATTGTTTGATCCTGCAAAGTCTTCTCTTTTCACGTTTGCGTTTATCAGCATTTATAAATGCTTGAACTTTAATGCATGTACGCAAATTGATCTACACCCCCGATCGTTAGTTTATCCTTATATAAAATGTTAGACTGCAATGCATGTTTTAAATCAAAACAAAATGAAAAGATCAGAACGAGTTAGAAAACAGAATCAAACGCATAATAATATCTTTATTCTAATGTCTCCAGAATTGTTAGAAACTAGATTTTCATTGCAGCAATGCCATAGATGGCGCTGGCTATATCTGACAATTCTACATATTTTGGGCGGGTATGGATAAAAAATAGAGACTACATACATTGTATATACAAAGGGTAAGCGATCGATTGGTACAACTTAAAGGAATATCAATATTATGTCACCATGGAGCTGCTCTTGATTTTGAAATAACCAATCCACTCCATTAGGAAATAACTAGAATGGTCAATTGAACAAAGTTGCAAACATGCTAAAGTCTATATATGTTTGAATTTTTGTTTCCAAAATCTGTAAAGAAAAGTCTACTTTTAGGGCCTTTAGGGATTGAAATATAAATTGACATCATTTCTAATACCACCAATTTTTCTCAATTTTTTCAACAATAACGGTCGGATATTGATGAAAAATCTGATGAAGTTTTGAAAATCGACATACCCATGTTAAACCAACGGGAACTGATCGGTTTGTCGCAAGTCATATGACGACAGAATATCCATTTATCCCAGTTCTTGCAAAAAAATACAAAATAGGTAGAATATTGAATTTGCAAACTTTGTTTAACCAAAAATTATATGTTTCTTCACGCACAGGCTGGTATCGAAAGATTTGTCCGCTGTGACGGAGCATGCTATTTTTCATAAAAACACTAAGAATGCTTCACGATTTATTTTTTAACTCATATGTTTCGTTATATCAAAGATAATTACTTACTCCATGCAATGGATATATCATTTGCGTGTAACCTCCACTTCTGTTTGAAGTTCAATAACGCTAGGAGTAAAATCTATTGAAAACGGCGCCAGAGTATCAAACTCTAAAATGTACCATTTCTTTTTTAACTTTTTAATGGCATGATATAGTGACACGATAATATTAACATATGTTTTCAGCATAACCACCCTTGGTATACGCAGCTAACGAAAATTGACCGGCACGGGTCAAAAGCTGGACCGGCACGGGTTAACGGTTTTATTTGAATTTAAAACAGCCATAACTTGCTCAATATTGACTTCCTCGTGTCTAATTTGAAATATATGATGCCTCCCGATGCTTTTAAGTACCCCAATTTTTTACAGATTTTTAAACGGACCAAAACTCTCTAAATGCGCATTTATGCTCTTTTCTCTCGAGAACGACTGTCTCATTTTCACGATAACTTTTATTTAGTACTTCTAACATATAAGATCTATTTTTCCCCATCAAGGTATGATGTAAATGACATGCTATTTACATATTGTGAGTTTCAATGACGCGCGTTTGATTTTATAAAAAATGCCAAAGTTTGTGACAAAGAATTTCATCAGCTATTGCCCCGAACCGGTCCGTCTTCTCTCTGCAAGCAGATTGCCCCGAACCGGTCCGTCTTCTCACTGCAAGCAGGATGAAATTCTTTGTCACAAAGTTTGGCATTTTTTATAAAATCAAACGCGCGTCATTGAAACTCACAAGATGTAAATAGCATGTCATTTACATCATACCTTGATGGGGAAAAATATATCTTATATGTTAGAAGTACTAAATAAAAGTTATCGTGAAAATGAGACAGCCGTTCTCGAGAGAAAAGAGCATAAATGCGCATTTAGAGAGTTTTGGTCCGTTTAAAAATCTGTAAAAAATTGGGGTACTTAAAAGCATCGGGAGGCACCATATATTTCAAATTAGACACGAGGAAGTCATTATTGAGCAAGTTATGGCTATTTTAAATTCAAATTAAACCGTTAACCCGTGCCGGTCCAGCTTTTGACCCGTGCCGGTCAATTTTCGTTAGCTGCGTATACCAAGGGTGATAACTCTGAATGTATTAATGAGATATTAATGCATTGGGTCTTTTAAATTTTTTTATAAAAAATAATATTAATATTTTTTGTCCGCTGTGACGGAGCATTTTCACAGTTCACATTTGCAACTGCTCCGTCACAGCGGACAAAAAAATTAAACAATATTTTTTATAAAAGAATTAAAAAGACCAAATACATCAACATCTCATTTATACCTTCATAGTTATGCTGAAACCATGTGTAAATATTATCGTGTCACTATACCGTGCCATTAGAAAGTTAAACAAGAAATGGTACATTTTGAAGTATGATACTCAAGCGCCATTTTCAATAGATTTTCTTCCCAGCGTTATTGAACTTCAAACAGAAGTGAAAGTTACCCGCAAATGATATATCCATTGCATGGAGTAAGTAATTTTGTATGGTATAACGAAACATATTAGTTAAAAAATAAATCGTGAAGTATTCTTAGTGTTTTTATAAAATATAGCATGCTCCGTCACAGCGGACAAATATTTCGATACCAGCCTGTGTCACGATTAACAAAATTATTTTTCAAGAAACCCCTCCCATTGAAATAATGAGGTGAAAACTTATTTTTAAGTGACTTAAAGCTCTGTATGATGTTCACAAAGTAAACTTAACACTTAACGTGCAAAAAAAGTTAGAAAATTTCAATTTTTTCTATATAATTTATTTTGGTGAAGCATTTACTGAATAGATATCCAGAAATTTGATTTGCCCCAAACCCATCATTTCCCATTGGTTTACATCTGAATGACAATTTTCATAAATTCCATGCTATAAACTTTGAGCTAATGAGGGACAAAAGAATGACACCATTTATCTCAGTGTTTGATTGTACTTTGAAATGGGAAAGTATAGGAAGTCTGTTAGTAACAAAGTTGATTAGAAAAAATGTTCGTTTCAAATGAGTTATTTTTGACAAGTTAGTCATCTTATTAGTAAGCACTAGGCATGTAGTATACGAACTATTGTGGCCAAGTTGAATAAATAATAGAATTTTTCGAGATAATGACCAAAAGAGACCGATTTTGACATTCGACCTTGGGGGGCCACACCCAATTTTTAACGGTATCATTCTTATCTCAGAATGCAACTGAAATTGGATTAAGGTCCATTAAAAGTCCGAATGTAAAATAAATACAAAAATAACAGTTCAGAACTGATATTTTGGAAATATTAGAATTAATTTCAAAATCATAAAAAATATTTTAATTTATTTTGCCGTCAGTGGTTGAGCTAAGGAATACCACTGTTGCAAAGAGTATTTTCTCAATGTAACAGCTCGCCGTGCAACACCATACTGTTAGTCATCATTTTACAAAAATCAAATCAAGTCCGAGGAGTGTGAAGCCGTCTTGATAATTTTTCTAAAACGTCGTCTTGCTCCAGAACCTTACTCGATCATACACACATTGACATCCCGGCGATGATTATTCCGTTTGTCAAGGGACACTGTATTTAGTATTTGGACTTATTTGGAAAAGAAATTAACTTGCAAGTTGGCACAATGTACATACAGTCGTAGGCCATTTACGGTTGCATTTGGTGACTTTGTAATGCGTTACCCTTACATGTACAAACAAGTGAGAGAGGGTGCATCTTCTCCACATAAATATGTTTATCGCATGTAATAGATAAGAAGCAATATTCTGCATCTGGCTGCTTAGCGGTTAAGCCGATGAGAGATAAAATCTCCAATTCCTCCATGTAATTCCTTTTTTCCTACAGTGTGGAAGTGATTCGTTGATCAGCTTAGCATCTGCAAGGAGATTGAGAGATACCTGGCTGTTGCTATGGCTAAAAATAACCCTACTAGAAACCCGAAACCTTAAGCTTACAGTGTGAACTTAACATTACGGATTTGCTCTGAAACAAGCTGGTGGTAGTGGTGTAAACATACATGTAGCCTCTATGATTCACATTGAAAATATCAATCTATAAAAACGAATAAAGATTTTCAGAAGCATTAGCAAAATGAGCGCCGAACGCGGTCAACCGGACGAGGCAACTGTGACTTCAAACGCTGCTGAAAATGACAAAGAGAATGTACCACTGGGCGCTGAACAAGGAACAGTTATTGATGTGAAACAAGGTGCAAACATATCAGATGAACTATTAGCATGTGCCCCTGTATTAATGGATACATGGGAGGCGAAGAAGCCTGTCAAACGTAACCCCCCTTCTACAACCGCCACACCTGCTGCTAAAACAGAACCAGCTACAAATGAGATTGTCAAGGAGTCAGCTGGAACTCCATCAAAACCCGACGACGACGTGGAACCATTAAAGCCTAGTGATAAGGCAGAAGAACCCGTACAGAATGGAGAAGTTAACGGAAAACATGTGGAACCTATACGCCCGCCAGAAGAGTTGACTCCCGATGCTATATCTGAGGTAAGTTTAGTAACTCAGTTCAGTGTTTTATAAGTAGAAAGCGCAATAGCGGGGGGGGGGGCATTTCGTCTAATACAGAGGTCTACCTCTCGGCAGCTTTGGATATACACAAAGATTTCAAACGAATGGAAAATATGGTGATCTACTAAAAACTAGCGCATGCTGCTTACAGATCTTTTCACTTCCCTTACTTACAGGTACGGAACAGATAGTAGAGTTGTTCCCCAGAAAATCCCACATTCATTTGTACACATAGAGTTGGGGGGGGGGGTGATTTCCACATCAGAACAACTTTTCTCTCTATTCCAGTGCATATAACATTACTCCTAGGATTTAGAAACAAATCTCATATGATTATAATATTTTGTGCTAATACTAGTAAAATAGAAATGAATATCAATCAAGGAAGCCTCAACTCGTTTATGAACCAATGATTATCACAGATTACAACGTCATTTTTGTCAAGTTGGAGTGGAAACATTTCTATACTATTGACGCTTTACCTTTATTTCAGAGAAAAGAGGCGAGGATTAAGAGTTTAGAAACACAGATTAAGTTGCAGCGAGAGAAGGCGAGGCTGTCCTGCCAAAGACTGGAGCAGGTATTAGAACTGAATTAGATTATTCTTATCATGTATTTGTTGAGAAAGCAACCATAACAGGTTTCCAATATAACATCATCATATCCAGGGGCGGATCCGGGAACCAACAAGTGGGGGAACATATTTGAAGTATGAAAAAAATCGGGGCCCTAAAACCAAAAAGTGGGCCCAAATTTTGAAAATTTAAAGCCCATTTTTGATAATTTGGCCTAATATTAAAATAAGGCCTTCAAGCCCATTTGTGCCCAAAAAGCCTCATTAATCGAGCCCTAAAAAATGTTGAGCCCACCCAAGGGGGAAGGGGCGGTCAGAAAGAATATAGCTTATAATCACAGGTTTAATGTGCGCATTTTAATTATTGTATATGTTTAATCTCAAACTATTGGCATCAGTTTGACAGAGTCAGTATGTATTGAAGATGAAGGTACGTGTCTTTTTCAGGCGACTAAGCTGTTAGACATGCGCCGGAAGGCACTAGAGGAGGCAGAGAGGAAGGCACGAGAAGCGGTGAGTAATCGCAGGAAACACAATTAAGAACAAGGACAGGGTTTGGTCCAAGGGCTGGTCCATACATCTTGTCATTACCATGTACCTTCTGACAAGTGACACTGCCAGCAAATAGTTTCATGGGGAAATAACATTGAAACTGTTTCGGTATGCCAATCTTCTAGCTCCATATCCGTTTAGCCATTAACGGGGCTATTTTCAGTCTGCTATTTTCATTGGTCACAGCCTTTTATTTTATTTCACTGGCACTCTTCCGATCTTATTCATTCACGTCTCAATATATGTACTATATATATGTATCCAGCTTTATATTTTCCACAGTTTGACTCTCATTGTTATTATGAAATTTGGTTCTGACAGTTTTTCTGGCCAGAGTGATGAACTCCGAGAAGGACATAGTCAGAAAAAACTGCATCCGCATTAAACTTTACTCTCATTAACAACAATATCATGTTATACGATGTTAATAAATAAAGCACAACAAATGGCAACATTTGAAAAAAACGTAACGTAATACTAGTCGTATGAACGTTTGCCATTTCACTACATTTATTTCAAATATTCAGTTTTGAAAAATGTAAAATTAATTAAAAGAGCAAACCACGTGATACTTACATGTTTTGTATCTTATCGTATCCTCATCATTAACAGTGTGTTAGACAATGGGCTCAAATGTAATGCCTAGATTGTTGAGTGCCTTTAATTTAACCATATCGCTATAATCCAAGATGAAGTTGTGGATCATTCCAAATATATAGCCCATGATATAACTTACAATTTTGATAAGCACGATTGTCTTGAAACTACTACACTGCAAATGTAGTTATTTCAACCCTGTTAATGCTTTAAATGAAAATTATAATGATCTCTCCACAAGGTCGTTGAACTGAATACAATGTTTGATGAACGTTTCAGGAACGTCGAATTATGGCCATGGAAACAGTCCTTGAGAAAACCAAAGATCCTAACTATGAAGATACGTTCGTCCCAAAAGACAAGGTTAGCATAGAGTGGCGCGGTGTGTTAATTTTTGTCGCGCTTTGCATGCTTTCAGGAAAGGCGCGTGCTCAAAACTCAACGGGTGCTTATCTCATCGACGGGCGACATGGAACAATGGCTAGCCGATCCGAATGCGTTAAAGGTACGTTTGCTATGATTTAAAGGTGTTCGCTTTGTTCAGTACCGCTCTGTCTTTATTGCATGCATTGGCCCAAGGATGATTTAAATGTTCTATGGATCAAATGAATGTGCTAATTCCTCGACTTGTTTAATCAACGCCATCTTTTGGCAAATATCCTTGTTCCATCGTTATTATTTTGTTTCTAACAATATTTTATTTAGTTTTCACCTTAACTCGCATGGGTTTTAGTCATTTGTATTATTTTCTTATAAGATTCAACTGTGGCTACCAATAGACACGTGTAGTGACAAAAATAAAGAGGATGTTTTAGCGTCATGTATGTGTAATGCTTCAACGTGTTAGATTGTCATGGAAGGAATTCAAATGACAGTTTTACCATTCAATGGTACAGATAACGAATCGCTGATGGATAAATAAGGACCATTGATTCAGTCAGCAACTGATTCCAATCCATTTCTTCAAAATCAATGGTAAAAATCCAAAAACCAAACGTAACCCATGACACATTTTTGAAAAACCAAAATCTCACAGAATAGAATAGAATTTATTAATATATACACTTTCAGATATCTAAAGAGACGCAATAAAGAAAGGAGCGTCTAACTAAGAGGATAGGAGTATTTTGTTGATAAAGTTCTTCTCTGAGGAAATGTAATTTTACAATAATAACAACAACCATAACTTTTATCAGGTTCAAGAGTTCTTACATTTTGTAGTAATGGACACTGAATCAACTTAGTAATAGTAAATGTGTTATTTTCAGAAAGCAAAGGAAACTGAGCTGAGGCAGATATGCGGAGATATGAAATCGGTAAGAACATTTCTCGTGTCTAATCTGAGCGAAAAATAAATGAGAAGCGAATTTGCTGAAGTGAGGATTCCATGTTATAAATTAGGACGATTTTCGTTTTTATGAATCGTACCATGCAATGTTTTGCATAATTCTGTTGGACGGATGTAACATAAGATTACCAGATAATGAACCTTGACATGTCATAAGTATATCGTGAAAAAAAAATTTGAACATGCTTATTAAAAATATTGAAAAACAATAAATTCTTAAATTGTGTCTAACAGAATTATGCAACACATGTTCTACGAATCATGAAAACAAAGTAAGGGGTTCGCTACTATTTTTTATGAAAAAATTAAAAATATAACCATCATTAAAACTAAAGTATAAAAAGAGGACATTTAAATCTACAATACTTAAAAATATGAAAATCTTTGGCGACATTGATAACGTCGAAATATGCAGATGATTTTGGTTCTCCAAACCGAAACTGAATCGTGGTTTGGAAGTAATGATAGGAAATCGACTACTCATTTATTTATCACTCAGACTGTATATGGTTAACATGATTAATTCATCTTCATCCGATTGTTATTTGATTTTTGACAAACCCCAAACCCCAAACCCCTTTAGACTTGAAAGGGGCATTCGGCAGGGCTGTAATTTCGCCCCATTGGCATTTATTGTAGCGTGTGAAATATTAGCTTGTAAAATTCGTCAGTGTGATCAAATTGAAGGTATATTGATATCCAATAAACAAGTTAAGATATCACAGTATGCTGATGATACCACAAATTTTGTTAAAGATGAAGCATCACTTAGACAACTATTTACTGTTTATAGCTCATTTAAAGAAATATCAGGTTTAGATGTAAATAAACGTAAAACAGAAGCCATGTGGCTTGGCAGACAAAGATATAGCCAGGAACAATTTTTAGATATTAAATGGAAGCTATTCCCAAACAATGTTATGAAAATGTTAGGTGTATCTTTTTCCACAACAAAACATATATTTGATTTAGATGACAATGTGCAGTCTAAATTCGAAAAATGTGAGAAAATAATGAAAAGCTGGCAAAGTAGACATTTAACATTACTGGGTAGAATTACACTAATCAAGTCATTATTGACATCTCAGTTTAGTTATTTAATGCAAACTTTTGTTATGCCTGACAACTTGCTTAATCGAATCAATGTTCTCATGTTTAAGTTCCTCTGGTCAAAAAGCAAATTTAAAGAGGAAGACCTGAAACGGGTGCCAGAAAAAGTAAAAAGAGATATCATAATACAGGATTATAACAAAGGTGGTTTAAAAATGATTAATGTACATGATATCCAGAAAGCTTATTTATTAAAGTGGGTTAAAAACCTGTCAACACCAGGCAATGGTGCATTTAGAATATTACCCTCATTGTATTTTAATAAACTAGGCAAAAACATGAGTGTGTTTAAGTCTTCTGTATCAGAGGCAAAATTCATAGGTATTGACAACATTAAGTCAAACTTTTATAAAAAATTGTTAATAACATGGTTAGATTGCAATAAGAACCATGGAATTGAAAATGATAATTTGTTTAATAACAGAATTGTATTATTTAGACAAAACCCTATATTTTTTACAAATTGGATCAGATCAGGTTTAATTTATATTTCAGATGTACTTGTAAATAACACAATGATATCTTATGAACGACTGTGTGAAACTCTCGTAAGAAATGGTGAAACTTGGTTTCAGTATACAACAGTCAATTCTATTATTTCAAGACTGTTAATAAACAGAACTATTCCACAGCACAGTGAGTCTTTATCGTTCAGAAACATTAGTGTAAAAGATTTAACATGTAAAAATGTAAGAATTGAATTAACTAAAGATAGATTGCTCATTGGTCCAGATAGATTTAGTGAAAAACAATGGACCCTTACAAAAGAATTATTTATAGAAACAAAAATGATATAATTACAGTGGAAAATTATGCATAGAATATTTCCTACCAGAAAATTAATGTATAAATATCAAATTGATGAAGTACAAAATGAACTGTGTCAAGATTGTTTAGTTCAGGACAACCTGGTGCATTATTTTTATGAATGCAGAAAAGTTAAATATTTATGGGATAAGCATTTCCCAGGTATTACATGTAATGAAATATTATTTGGTAACCCTGAATTATCCAAGACTACATCTATGAAGATTATCCAATTTAAAAGTTGTATAGCCAGTGGTAAACAGAACAAGAACAGCATATATTTTTTAGCTGACAGTATTTTTAATTCTGATTGATTTTTGAACATGTCGAAAAATAGTTAAGTGCTCATCTAATTGATTATGTATTGTACACTGTAAATATTATGTACATATTTTGTCGTTCATTTTAAATAAAAAAAAAATAAAAATAAAAAAAAAAAAAATTGCAAAGCGCCATTCTTTTATGTGATGAAATCTATTGCGATCGCTCTTACTTCCTTTTTGGCGAATATATTTTTCAGTACAGTTGAGAGTCTTATTATACACGTCTTACTTTTAAATGAAATAAAGCCATTAGAGAAAACCATATCGACCCATTCCTTCTAAAACATAAAGATGTCATCATGAGAATTCAAGGCCTCGTCAAAAACAGGAAAATGTGATGGAATTCAAAATGTAAAGATGTCAGCTAGTTAGTGGCAGTTATTAACCTTATAGGCAAAACGTATTGACATATCAATCATTATGTAATATATCTCGCCAAAATAACCCTATAATTGTTCTTATTTTCGCTTGTTAAGAAAGCTAAAAAAGTATCACAAAATATCACAGGTTCATAAATGACAGTTGTTTAGCCAGTTGACTTTATCTTTCAGATTGAGACTAGGTCCAGCTCAGCCAAACAGTCAACGGAGGCTCTGGAACAAAAAATGAATCATCTGCGTGCAGAGGTATGGAAAATAGGAGGATATATCGGTTTGATAATGATTAATTTACTACGCTTTCTCAAGAAAGACGTTGTTTCTCCGTAAGCCATTGCTTTGTATGTCGGAGATTTGTTTTCACACTGTATTAATTTGTACATTTTTCTTACAGATTGATAAATGGAAAGGCAGACGAGACGAATTGAAAGATATGAGAGACGAACAAAAAGCTCTTCTTGCTGAGATTCCTAAACTTTCTCGCCCAAATGATGACACGGACCAACCGCCACCACCGTCCGCTGGGAGTACAGAATAGCACAGGGCAGAATCCTGCCCGAGCACCTTATTGGGAAATTGGAATTTGATTCTAAGCCCCTTCCGGGAATTATTTAATATTTATAATGATACATAGAATTATTACTATGCATGAGGATGTTTGAACGAGAATGGACATGCGACTTTAGTGATTTTTATCATTTTGCAACCATTGTGGTGCCTTTCTTGTATAAGTAAAAACGCTCTATTGGAGACTACTAATGATAGATATATATATTGTTTATATGATCTGCAAGTTTTCAAATCCATAATGAAAATTATTATAGGATAACTTAATTGTTATTACAATCAATATTCATCATGTTACATAGTGAATAAAGCATTTTGGTGTTTTTACCGAAAAGTTGTGTTTTGTTTTAACCCATTTTATGTGTTTGAGTGAAAGGGGGAACTTGGAAAAGATATAAATCTAAGTTGTCCTTCAAAAATAAACCAGAATGTTTTTTGTATACAACCCCTCATTACTACAACCTACTTTTATTCTTCCAATGGACTTCAATTCTTGGTTTCCCAATAGATTACATGTCTCGGTTACGCACAAATAATGCAAGGGAAACGCTTAAACAAGGGGAGTGGCAGATCCCACAAATTCACAAAATTCATTTGTGAATTTTGTATAGGTTTGGTGATAATATTTCTTGCTGCCTTGTTTCTGGTTCCCCTTCATCTGAATGCCGAGAGTCTATTGCGTGCCATAGGGCAAAATCATAAAGTTGCAAAGTAAATCATTTGCACGAATGCTTCGTTGTTATATCATTAATTATATGAGAAAAGTATTACAAACTGTTTTATTCTAAAAGTTAATGTGATCTGTGAATCTGCAAGTTATCATATAATCTAGTACAATTATAGTTATACTGTAGTACTATGTTATCTAGTTTTCAAAGAGTAAGTTGGGGGGAGATGAGAAAATGAGTAAATGTTACAAAATGTTGTTTTCATTACAGGGGTGCAGGAGAGTACCTGCTTATATTCATACCTGGAATTTTTGTAAGTGAATGTGCTATAAAACTATTTCTTGGTAATACTTTATATGTCATAGCGCTAGCGTGACGTCTAACATTAAGATTAGCGATAAATGATCATCAGAATTTTGAACTACTGTTCATCATGAACTGTTTTTTTAATTGTAAAGTCTAAAACTGGTAAATCATTAACGTTGTTTTGTGTATTTCAAATTATTCTATATTTCCAGCTGAACTTTTTCTATCAAGTCTTCTCCAAATACCTCCAGCATCAGAACATAGTCTATCCATCTCTTATAATTGGAGCGTTCGCTAATATAGTCAATGCCGTATTGCACTATGTTGTCATTTATGTGTGGAATTTTGGCATACAGTTAGAAATCAATCGTTCATTCATGAGTATATACAAGATGTCTCAAATATGTACTCAATATATCAACAGCACAGATAAACCAATCAATATTGTCGGACATCTTTTGGATGTTCATGTAGCTAAACATGAACATTTTCTCCCCAATACACCATTGTTATTTCAGTCTTGCCTGATTCAACCCTTTCCTTTTTACATGCTACATTCTTCTTTCATTATATTGAAGATTGTTTAGGACTATTTAAGTGTTTTTCTTTCTTGCTCTATTTTGTTATGAAGATCATGTTTATCCTCTTTCAGCACTTTGCTTATGCCTGGGTCGAATTTGCTGTGATCCATCGGGCGGCACCCAGGCGATTCAGTATTGTTTCAAACTGAATACAATTTTGAACAAAACACTCAATCGGCTGGCCGCCGGCCGATGATTATAGCAGCAAATGTGACCCAGGCATAACATTGCACCGCCTTGTTATGAAAATATAATGCTACTTCGTTAAAAACATTTTATATATATTATATGTTTATCAATATTTTAGACGTTTTTGCATTGTTATTAATCCGAATCTCAAATAGCAACATCTTTTTGGTGTAATAGTCAACATGAGATGTTTATTTTCTAAGTTCCAGCGGGTGTAGGGGTATCTTGTAGTACATGGGCGGGACAGAATTTAGGATATGACCATTTTATTCATCTATGATTTAATGAATATATCTATATAGTGTCCATTTTGATTCTATAATCAATATAGATTTTGCACATATTCATAAATTTTTGCATTTTTAGATTCACATCGAAACATTTAGGAAGAATAGCACACAAGAAGGCTACAGCATTAAAAAAATGTATGAACATAGTAATACACATATAGTTATACATTTTAATTCCAAAACAAGCATGAATATGATGTAACAAGTCCTATGTATCAAGTCCTATGTACCAAGCCACATGGATGATTTATGCCGTCTGCTATAGAGGTCAATGTGTAAGATATATTGACTGGATTTAGCATGTCGAATATGGATACAAATTAAACTCTATAGACTGGATAGTCTGCATGCACACGATCATCTTTTTGTCAATTGAAGCAGTGCATAGCAAGATAGTATATCAATATTAATGTAGATGCTGCAGACATGTAGCACAAATGTTCTCAAGTCCAAGGTAAGAGGAGTGAGCCTGAAAATAAAAAGGAAAACAATCAGCAATGATTTAATTTTTGAATGCTCCATCTTTTAAAAGTACTAGTATCTACAACTGTTTTTGATCTAATGAGATATTTTCAATTCATTCTTCAATATGTATAAATGAACATGAAATGCCCCTTGATGTTTTGGTACTGGATTGTGATGATGTTGGTTCTCGACTGAAGGGATGAGAGAGAAGGGGGTGTTAGAAATGATTTATTTTCACGATAGATCATGGTTTTGCGATTTATAACATGTACATGTGTATAGGTCCATTTTACAATCTCTACAATTGGAAAATGTTGTGGAATAATGTAATGAGCCAGATAGCAAAATCATCAAATTATGTGTTAAAGTACCTTGAACAATATGGTATGTAGATAGAAATGTTGCAGATAGGTAGCACAAATTGTAGATTCTCTGTGGTTTTCCTTTTGTGTTTCTATTTGTTCTCTCCAAGCCAAGAGGTATGTAGATACAAATGCTGCAGATAGGTAGCACAGATTGTAGATTCTCAGTGGTTTTCCCTTTGTGGTTCTTTTTGTTCTCTCCAAGGCAAGAAGACTGCACCTGAAAGTACATTTAAGGAAAGGATCAGCGATGGTTCAATTAAAAAGAAAGAAAACTCCGAAACTAAGCCCACAATTTTAACATGAAAACCCAAAAGAAAAGACCTTTCAATCTACAACTGTAGCTAAAATGAACACAAGACTTCAGACCTTCAAAATTTAGATCTGGAGTAGACCTTGAAGTGAACTTTAAAATTGAATCATTGCTGAGTAAGTATTGGTCAACGAAATACAATACAATACAAAACAAAACAATACAAAACTATACAATACAATACAATACAATACAATACAATACAATACGATACAATACAATACTATACAATACAATACTAAGCACTAGATCCATGATCTTGGTCATCTGGTTCGTTGGTTGTCTGGTTCGTTGGTTGTTTGGTTCGTTGGGTGGAGTGTTGGTTAGATGGTTGATTATTTACTAGTTAATTGGTTGGTTAGTTTTAACCTATTGGGTGGTCTGGAGGTTGTCTGGTTGGTTAGGAGGTTGGTTAGTTGGTTGGTTAGTATGTAAGTTGGTTGGTTAGATTAAGCCTATTGGGTCATTGGCTGGTCGGTTGGATGTCCGGTTGATTGGTTGTTTGGTTGTTTGACACCCCCAAGAAAAAATAACTGGAGTGATGACTTCCCAAAAACTTGAATTAAACAACCACATCCACAATCAAAAGATCCCCATTGCTCCATCAAATCCAACTCAATAAAAAGGTGACTTGAGACCACCCCCCCCCCCCCCCCCCATGAAATTGAACTGGAACGGTACTGGAAGTAGCCCCCCCCCCCCAACACACACACTATGGAGTGAATACCTTCCCTAAAACTTGAATTAAGCAACCCAAGCTAAAATCTAAAAGACCACCGCTCAAACAAACTAAAAAGTGAAGTGACTTGAGGCCACCCCCATTAAAAGTTGTTTGACACCCCAAGAAAAAATAACTGGAGTGATGACTTCCCAAAAAGTTGAATTAAACAACCACATCCACAATCAAAATATCCCCATTGCTCCATCAAATCCAACTCAATAAAAAGGTGAGTTGAGACCCCCCCTCCCCATGAAATTGAACTGGAACGGTACTAGAATTACCCCCCCCCCCCCCCCCCAACACACACACTATGGACTGAATACCTTCCCAAAAACTTGAATTAAGCAACCCAAGCTAAAATCTAAAAGACCACCCCTCCAACAAACTAAAAGGTGAAGTGACTTGAGGCCTCCCCCACTAAAAGTAGAACTGGAATAGTACTGGGAGTAGCCCCCTGCTAATGGGATGCAACTGATTGCAACTGATTGCAAGAGATAAAACTGGGCAAAAATGCGACATCTATGGTAAGTCCTGGAAACTCGACCTAGTCCCCTCATGAAGAAAAATGTGATTTCAACAGGATCGTTGTTTCGCAGGGACTTCACCATCTTTGCTACAAATAGATAAAAACATGTTGTAGTAGTTGTTATTTTACATAAAACTCTAAATAAAACTTTGCATTATACTTTACAGTACTTAAATTTACACTACTAAAAATTTACAGAATATTACAAAAGTTAAAATTTATTTCTCCCAATTTGATATAAACCGGTATCCTTCCATATTTCTGATTTTGAAACATGAACTCTATCCCCCCAGAAACCCAACCTACCCCCTCCCATTTTACCTTAGAGTCCATTTCTCCACCAAAGAATATGGGTCGGCCAACAAAAGTCCACCAGTAAATATCAAACCGGAAGGCGCCCCTATCCCTATGCAAAACCAGGAAGGAATACTTAACTTAGGTAGCAGGAACGTCGGTTGTAGTCCTAGTTGGCACGCAGCTGTTGTCTCAGTTGTGTCGTTGGTTATCTGGCTCCTCATCTCCAAGCTGAAAGTGAACCTGAAAACAGAGGAACTAAACTGATGTAATAATTGAATAAAAAAAATGTACTTACTTTGGTGCTTTGGTGACAGGAACACGAACACCTCTCGCCCATGATACTGTTTACGTGGACTGGACCTGATGGCTCAAAGTTGTCGAAAGACTGATCCAGCTGTCGCCCTAACTTAGTGTGTTCGCTGCATCTCTCTCATAGTTGTACCTGACAGAAACAAGATAAGAAAATGAAAAATACAAGGATGCAACTTGATCGAGTCACTTCCAATACAAGCGGAGGAGGGAATGCCAAGACATTCCTTTCATTGACTCTCGTAAATTTGTCATAGCCTTGTACCCCTCCCGGCTTAAGATTT